AGGTAAGATATCAACCCCAGAATGTTTTTAATGATGTAGACAGACAGTTATGGTGGAAGCGGTCACAAATGTACACGTGCAGAAGTGTGTGTGTGTTTATGTGTAGCATCCTATCTCTTTACAGTACTGCCCATGAGCACCACAGCGCAAGATGCTGCCCCCAAAATAACAAGGAAATCCATGACCAAAGAATGTGCAACTGCAAGTAAAGACCAAACTGACCTGAGTGCTTAGCTCGAGCCTAACAAGCTGCTGCACCCAAGCTGGCATTGCAGTCCGGGAGTCCTGCCTCTCCCTGTCTCCAGTAACCATGAGACAGCACTCCTTCCCACGTTTGCAGGAACAATGATTTTATTTTTTTTTTTGTAATTATATTAATACCTGTTCTTCCCTCATGCTAGCAATTTGGTTGATTTCTTGTTTATTGCTTTTCACCTTCTACCATCAATAATTCAGCCACATAGCCCCCAGGAGGTGGAGAACTAAATACTCATTTTACAGAGACTTGCCTAGGAAAGGAGTGATATGATAGCTGGAATCAGATCCCTGGCATTCCTGGTTCCTAACCCAAGCCACAATCCCAGAGGTGGCAATCCCACAACCTGTGATGCCAAGCCTCTTGCTGGCTTTTGGAGTTTTGTTCTGGTTTCTGTCTCGTTGAGTTTTGCCAGGAATAACAACTGCAGGATGTGACCCTGATTGTAAATGAGGTCCATAGGTGGCTTGTGCACTATCAGTCTTGCTTCTTCTCCTCTGGTCTTTAATCTTGTGTTTCCCAAATCAAAGTGTTGTACCCGGATCCTCTCAGGATCTGTGGATTAGGTCATGGGGTTCATTTCAGTGCTCAGTAAAACCTGGTTCTTGTAATTAAACTGCTACCATTGTCAACCCCAGAAAATCCTGTTTTAGGGACTGGAAGGGGTGAGGAGAGAAAAGGCTGTGAAGAATCAGCTCCACTCACGCTCTCTAGCGAGTGTCTGAGCCATATAGGTCAGGCAGAAGCCATTTGCTGTGCTGTACCTGCTCCATGGATGAACAGGGGACTGCATTCAGCATATATGTCAGCTGTCTTCCTTTTCAGTTCAATTCAATTAGCTAAACCCTTCTTAAAACCCTGTAGAAATAAATATCCCTCTACTCCTCAAGCTACTGCCTTTTTTTTTTTTTGGGGGGGGGTGGTTCTGTGCGTGATGTCCCTCCAGCTCATCCTTCAAACACCTCGGCCATCTCTTCGAGTGCCGTGGGCTATTTTTAACTCGTGCGGGTTTGAGCGAAGCCTCCCCGCGCCGGATTCCCCCCGCGCCGGATTCCCCCCGCTGGGGTGCGGAAGGGGCTGGCGGCGTGGAGCAGGGAGCGAAGTCAAGCCACAAGGGGGCATGTGCTCTTCTAATTCATAAAATGTGCCTTCATTGACAAAAATGCTGAACAATTGGTGAATGGTGTGTGCATAAGTTAATGCCGCTGGAGAACACACGGGTAGTGACGGGGGAGCTTGGCTGGGGGGCTTGTGAGCAGGGGAACAGAGAGATGGGGAGGAGTGGCAGGGCCCTAAAATGCATCAGGGGTGTCTCTGCACCTCTCTCCTGCTGATGCAGGGAGCTCTGGTAAGAGGAGAGTCAGAGAGCCTAATTCTGCTCCCAAACTCCACTGAAAGGAATTACAGTGGTAATGCCAAAGCCGGGAGGATGTTAGCAACAGTCACAGGCTCGAGCTGGCTCTGAGGATGCTTTGTTGTTTTTTTTAAGGTTTTGTAGCAAATGCGTTCAGCTGCCAAACATTTTTAATTCCTTCACTAGGTGAGACAGTACAAGAGACTAATGGCTAATAAGGATATTTACACACAGAATATTTATTTCTAAGCAAACCTTACATCCACCTGCATCTCCTAGACTGGTGTAGCTGAACCCATCCTCACCACGGTAAGTTCCCCAGCTTCTGCTGTCTCTTCCTGCCCTACAGCGCTCTTTCGGGGCTTGGGTAATTTCACCAAAGGACAACCAGTGTAGAGGGAAGAGAAATGGGGCTAAGCACTGAACAGGGAGCCAGGACCCTTGGGAATGCACCCAGCCCTGCTATGGTCTCCAATGTCTGTCAGTACTCTGATGAATTAGAGGAACTAGGAACTGCTAAAGACTACTGTGAAGTCTTGTTTTCAAACAGATTTCCCAATGCAATGGATAAAAGAAAATACGAGATGAGCAGAAGTTTTTCTGTCTGAGCATGTCACAATAAATATTTGGTTTATTGGCTTTTTAAGGGTCCTATCTTCTCAATCCAAAATGGAGTCAGGTGTACTGGGAGTCAGTCTACAACTTTCCAGTATATGAGTCAAAATGTGCAGCTCATCACCTGTAATTCCAGTGACTGCAGTGGAGTTCAGACAAGGATGAATTTGACAAAAGAGGACTGATCAGGATTGTCCTGAGAAATATCAGAAATGGGGAGGCAACCCTCATTCTGCCTGCCCTGCTAGCTCACCTCCTTCTGCAAACCTTCTCCTCCAGCTGTGAGGGCAATGCAGTCAGACCTTCACTCACTGTAGGCTGTGCCTAGCCAGCATACACTGGGGTCTTCCACCAGTCCCTACAGACTGCACTGAAATAAGGGACAGGGTTGCAGAGGGTGTGTCTCACCCCACTCCCCAGATTATTCCCTGCTTCCCTTTCCTTTCTTTGGTGGGGAGGGGAGGGGAAAAGCCAGGCAGTAAAGAAAGTACCAGCACTGTCCCTACAGCACAAAGAGAGAAGGTACAGGATTACTCCATAGTGACAAGCTGATGTGTCCCAGGAAGCACCTTCTTGAGTAACTAGGCATGTAAGAGCCAGGCCTACAGCCACCATTGTTTAACTTTGATGATTCAGCCTTCAAGCCCCTTCACCTCATTTTAAAAAGGCAGGAAAAGCCCTGTCATGCAGGTCAGAAGATCATGTTGCCCTCTATCTCCATCTTTCCCCCTGTACCGGTGCAAGCAAGACATAAGTGCTGCAAGGTTTTATACAAAACAGAAGAGGGGAAGCAGACTGGATTTACCTGCAGCACGAAACAGATTTATCTCTTGAATGAGATAGCCCAAAATGGCCTCTCTGAGAATTTTGGCTAAATTCAGGAGAGGTAGAAATAAACATGCAAAGGGCTTTCTGTCATGAAAGATGCTCTGACACAACAGCAGTGTGTGTGTATAACATTTATTGGGGAAATCGGCAGGAACAAACCCAGCCTCAAGTATTCTAAAGCCTGGGACATGGTATGCAAGGCTGCTGCATAGGAGTCTCCTGTCAGAAACTGTGTGACTACTTCATGCTGCTGACAGCAATACCACTCCATTAAACGTTTTATGTGTGGCATGGGCAAGACTTTGGGAAGTCTGGCTTGCCCCTGGGACATGATTGGTTAGGCAGGATGCAGGACCGTAACCTTTCATTGTCTTTACAGTTTTTCAGGCCTCTGGTAGTGCTATAGCTGATCATGATTTTAGTTTTGCTAAATTCCAGATAAATCCTCCTGCACTCTGTGCAGACCTGAAATTTCCCTTTGGACTGCAAATTGTGAGGGTAGCCCTTCCCTGCATGGGAAAAAAAGACATCTTCCTGTGACGTGGGGCTAGACACAGCCACTTGTTCATGTGCTGTGATGCCTGTGTAGCCTGTAGCCTCTAATATCCCTAAAGCCATGTGCCATGAAGCCTATCCAGATTGAAAATCTCCTGGTTCTTTTTCCAGGACTGAAGTTCCTGCAGTAGTTCCGAATAGTCTTTAAACACAGGATGCCAATTTGATTTAAAAGCTGAAAATAGCAAGATGTGTCTGTCCCACCCACCATGAAATTTGGTAACTTACTTTGTCCATCCTCCCTCCCCTTTTCTAATTGTTCTTTTTTGCACAGTTCCCCATTTAGACTGCAATCTCTTTGTGTGCAGCATGCTCTCCTATACTTAACCACAAAGCACTTTATGCACTGAACTGCTTTTTTTTCACTATTATTTAGTGCTCAGAACATTTGTTGCTGCACAGGTGGTGTGGTGTCTCCCTGCTCTTCTAGAAAATTCCAGTAGTCATAAGACTGAGATGTCTAAGAAGTCAACAATGAAATGCCGAAAGAAATATCCCTTCCCAATACAATCTTAACTGTGAGTTGCTGGCATTAGCTCCTAGAAATGGCATGGCAAAAAGTGAGGAGCCTAATAAATAGACCTGAGGCACTCTCTTTGGGTGTGCTGTTATTAGAATTACAGACAACAAATTGGAAATCCAACATTTATCTGCCTTTATGCTGAGTGTGTTGACTGTAGCTGTATTGATTACCTGTTGGAGCAGCTTGGAATAGCCAATATCGTGATACAGTGCAAGGTCTATGTTGAGAGATGGAGCACGGTTTTTTTGGTTTGCCAACAGAGATTTAGCCAATGTGCCCATAGTAATCCCTTGCTGCAGGAATTGTCCACAGCCTAGTGGTATGATCTCCTGGTCACTGGGGGAGGTGAGCAAGGCCATCTCACTGAAGGAATCTATATAGAAAGGGAAAAGTCAAGATATCTTTTAGTGTCTTATATGTAGGCTCAGCACTTGAACAGAAGCCAAGCCAAGCTTGCACCTGTTTGCTTGTGTCACCTTGCCTTGTGCTTTACCACAGAAAGGGAGACATTGGACTCTGTCCAAGAGACCTCCATACTCGTTTCCAGTGTGCCTGCGACGGTGGGTGAGGGCCCGGCAGAGGCAGAGTTGAAGTTGCATTGCAAACAGCAATGTGTGCAACAAAATTGTGTCTCTTCTTTGCTTGATTTCACCCTCACTCTGCTTCTCTACTTCTTGAAATGAAATGCAGGAAATTTAATTCCCTCTAAACAAAGTTCTGGGATATCAAATATTTTTCAATTCACACACACACACACACACCCCCACAGAAAAATGCAACCTTTTCCATGTCAAGAGCCTGGATCCCCATACTGGATTTGGTTCACCGTGTTGCACACTGCTTCCCTCTTTATGCTCCTGTGTTTGCAGGTACAAGCATGAAACTCCAAAGAGGAGCTGGGGAAGGACTCTGGAGTAGCCTGGAGCCATAACTACACTTAGAAAGGTGGAGAGGACAAATGTGAAGGGAGCACATATGACAAGCAAGAGACCTGAAACAAAGCACTCCAAAGCCCTGTGAGGTATGGATATTGGTTATGAAGTTTGTAAAGCTCAACTGTTCAGCTTCTCTCACTTCTTTCCACTGCTTTCTTTCATCCACCACATTCCTTTTGGCTCTTTTTACTCCTCTACGGTGCTTCAGGTCTTCTCAAATCCCTTCCATTACACCCACACTTTGTACTTCCATGCCTTCTGACACCCTCCCCTTCCTCTCCATGCATGCACTGTTTGCAGCTGTCCTCCCTTGTTTCCTCCCACATCCATCTCAGCTTTACCCTTCTCCTTCCCACTTCTCACATGGAGGTTATTTGACATACCTGTGGGCAACAAGGAGCGGGGCAGTGCTGTGAGGTGTGAGTATACCAGGTGCAGGATGGCAGGACAGGGAACAAGAGCCAAGGTCCAGCCCCAGGCTGCTCCTGGGGAAGGGAAGCCCTTGGGAAGGAGGTTGAGAGCTCTGGAAATTCAGAGGCTCATTCTTGGTCAAGCAAAAGAGCCACATGAAGGAAAACAGTGTCTGCACAGCTCCAGGTGCCTCTGGCCAGAGACAGGCTTGGTGCCAAGCAGAATTCCCCTCTAACTAACATACTCCGCTTACACAGAGGGAAAAGGAGAGTGCTTCTAGCTCACTCTCCTCACAGCCTACCTGGCCTTCATTCTCCACCAGGCCTCTCATCATACTTTTGGGCTAGGGCCTCAGCTCTACTTCCTTGTCTTTGTTTCCTTCTGCCTTCTAGCCTCCCCCTCTAATTGCTTTTGCCTTTCCAGTCCTATACTCTTCTTCCTGTGCTCTACTCCAGACCCTTCTCCCTTCTGCATCCAACCAACCCAGCCTGCCCCTGTTCAGTCAGCACATGTGCCCCAAAGCTTTCCCTCTGATAAGCACCCCCAGAAAGTAAAAAATTTAGAAACTCTAGAACAGTCTGTGCTAAAGGGATTTTTTTTATCTGTGACTTGCAGGCACAGATGACCAAATTGCTTGTTTTTCTTTGGCTGCATTCACTTTGCTTGTTCCAGGTAACCTAATCCTGTTTTTTTAACTGTCTTCTATGTTCCTCCACTTAGTCCTTGCTGATTTTTCATGACTACTTACGTTTCTAAAACAACATTGGACTGTTTATTTTAGAGAACTCACAAATGTTGTTTTTAAATGAGAGATAGTGAGGTTTGGACAAAAGGAGCTCTTGCAAAACACAAGAAACTTGTACATCACTCTGTTCCCAAAAGCTGTCAAGAGAAGTCACCCTGCATAGTGCATGGGTGCAGCTCAGGTCTAGCCAACACCTCATGTCACCTGAGATCACTTAGTTATTTTACCAGCAAGCTGCCTTGAAACCTTCTTGCTTCAGCACGTCTTACTGCTCATGTGCACCTCACCTCACTTTCTTTGATTTGATAGTTTGCCACAAGCTGATGTGGGGACTCAAGCTCAAAGGTCAGTCACTTTTGCAGCAGAGTGTCATCACCACTGCAGAACACCAGTAGAAATTAATATCCAAGAACATGCCAGTCTGAGCAGGACCAAAACTTCTTTTTAAAAATTAATAGTAATAATAATAATAGCCATCATCAACAGTGATACAAAGATGGATGAATGTGTGAATGAATAATTCATATAATGGCCGTGCTTTCATTCTTTTCCTATTTGTCCCTCAGAACTAGGAGCGGAGCCTCTGTGCACACCAATGCTAGTCTTGGAGTCATCAGCAGTCTGCAGATACAGTTCCAGCTACAGTACATGTGTAGCCATTACATGAAAAAAAGGGATGTGTGAGATGCCTATCTCAGGCAGGCTGCGCATCTGCAACTTCTTGCTCAAATGACTCCAAATTTGCCCCAAGTGATATTTATCCAGGGCCTCTGGGAGGTTCATTAGTACTGCAAAAATCAGATGGAGCATGAGAATATTGAGGTATGTTGCATACTTCCTTGTTAAGCAGAACATGATGCTCATTCTTCACTATGGTAGAGCAATGCACACTCTCTGGGATGGATCTGAGTGTATACAGTGCTGAAGTATCGTAAGTAATAAATGGTGCACCCAATAGTTCCTAGCTGCAGTGGTGATTAATCATTTAGGCCCTGATCCTGCAAACATGCATGAGTTTAACGTTACTACTATGAGTAATCCCCTTGATTTCAAATTAGATTAGTCACAGTCTTAACACTTGGCACGTGAATAAATGTTTGCAGGGCTAGAGTCCTATTTTTGGCCTGATCTTGCAAATTATTACTGTCTAGCACAGTGCCTCTGTTCCTGAATACTTTCACCGATTAAAAAAAAAAAAAAAGCCTCAAACATTCTCCTGAACTGTGAATGTTGCAGGATTAGATCTGCTGTGTGGTACGTATGCACAGCTCTGCATAGCATAGGTCATGGATAGATATAGCTGTATCTGGCCATGGTTGTGTGCTTTGATGCAAAGCACTTGAAAGCTGATCACCATCAATGTTTTTTTACTGTCCTTTACCACTGGTTCTAAAATTTAGGTCTTCCCTCTACAGTGTAAACAGAATTTTCCTCCTATTTCTTTTTAAAGAAAGAAAGAGAGATTAAATCAGTTTCGCTAAGTTAGGGTGAAGAAAATAAGGAAGCAAATAAGCAGCTTGCAAATTTAAGTCACCAGTCTAATCAAATTCCTCTGGGCTGCGGTGTCCTTTCTGTGAAATCAACCTGCATTAAAGCGACTGGGTTGCTGTTTGTGAATGTACCATCTCTGCAAATTACCGCTGCTCTGTTGCATTGTGTTTGTATGAATGGGGGTGACATGTGCTTGCCCACAGGTCCACGTGAGAGAGGTGGGGTGAGGAAGGAAGGATATTTTTAAAATGAATCTAGAGGGAGAAAGTGGACGCTGCAGCTTCATAGAATGTGAATGGTATCCTAAAATAACCCCTGTCATCTGCCCACCCACCCACTGCCAAAATCAAGGTGCAGCTCTTTCATTTAAAATTAATTCTTGGCCCCAGAGGGTATCGATAGATCAATATCTTGTGCTTCTGATCTCTTGCAGGCCACCCTTCAATGGCTCATGCAAAGGCTAAAAACAGAAAGATGCAACACAAAAGATACTGCAGTCAGCTCAAGCAAGGGGGATATTTTTAGATCAGAAAAGGGAAAGGAGGGGAGAGGGAGAGAAAAAGGAAAGAGAGGGAGAGAGGCTGGTCTAGGGTTTGCAATCTAATTTGGTCTCCCTCTTCCCCCCTCCTTTTTTTTTTCTTTCTCTCTTTTTTTATTCCATCGGTGGTATTTTCCATACAATCTGATTTCTGCCCGCTTGGCTGGGGGGGGGTGTCGGGGGGGGGGGGGGGGGGGTTGGCACAGCAAAGCCGGGCTGAAGATTCTGGAGTTTTATGGCTCATTCCAGCTAGTGGCTTCTCTCTGCCAGTTGAATTAATTTGATACTATTTTTGAAAGTCAGTGTTTCTAAGGGAGACCTAATGACGCAATGACGTCAATGCAGGTCAATAGCACACACTGGAGGAACTGACTGTGCTACCGGGAGCCAAGGGCTGGGAGCCCGCTCCAACACCCTGGCTCCCGCACATGCTCCCCCGCCGCCTCCCCAGCCATCCCCGCTACCCCCACGCACCGCGTGGGCTCCCCGCAACCCCCACCTCCCCCCCCCAAAAAAAAAATCACTAAAAAAATCTGTGATCAGAGGCAGTGCGGTGAAAAAAAAGCCCCCCCTCGCTACCTGTGAAAGGCAGCGTTATTGTGGCGGTGCACGCACTAGGAGGAAGGGGAGGCAGGCAGGGACACGCGTGTGCCCGGCCGGCCGGGACCGCGGGCTATAAATAGCGGCGGGGGCGCGGGGCGGCGGGGGCTGAGCGATTCCGCCCCGCGCACTCGCTCAGGAGGTGCCGGGCTCGGCGGTGCGGGGGTGGTGCGTGGGCGGCGGGGCGGGGGGGGTGGCGGGGGAGGGGAGGAGGGGGCTGCTGCTTCTCCCTGTCTCCAAGTCAGGCTCTGAACACGAACTGGCTTCTTTTTTTTTTACCCCCTTTTTTTTTTTCCTTTCTCCTAGAAGAGTGCAGGCACACATTACGCGAAACCCACAGCCTTTCGCGATACACAGCTCGAAATGCTCTAGTTTATTTATACAGCCCCTCCACCCTCAGCTCTTCCCACCCGTCCCCAAATTCCCTAGAAATCCAGCTAAGGCGTGGGGAAGAGGGGAAAGCGGTTTTGGAGGGGAGGGAGTTATTTATTTTTGTTTTGTTTGGGGATTGTTTTGTTTTGTTGGGGTTTTTTTCTTTGCATACAAAAATAAGTGAAGAAGATTTTGCAAGGTAGGTTTCTCTGTGTGCGCGCGCGTGTGTGTGCGTGCGTGCGTGTGTGTGGTGCTTTCCTTTTGCTTTTTGCAAAGTTTTCTGATTTCAGCTGTTAGATGCTTTTACAAGACATAGACTTTTCTGATTTGTTCTGCTACCTGCCTTTGAAAAGACTGGACAGCGTTGCATTCCCCCTCCTTGCAAAGAGTTCTCTAGACTGTCGTGTTGTGTGTCCTGTGCATTTGATGTTCCTGCAGGAAAGCATGTTAGTTTGCGAGCTCAAACTGCAGGCAGGGAGCTATGTATTTGAGACCCCCCCACACTTTTTGCAGAGGCTGCAACTTTCACTTTGTAACATTTTGGGGTGGGGGGAGAAGGAAGGCATCAACTCACTCGGGAAACAAGCTTGCAAATGAAATTTTAATTGCAAAAAGAGTCGAAGTCAGTAATGTTAAAGCTTAGGGAGGATGAAAGGGAGTTGACATTTCTTGCATAGAGAATTTGCTACCACTGGGAATAGACTGAAAGTCCATAGTGAAGGGGGGGGGGTAATAGGTAAAATAATACCAAAGCAAATGATAAGGCAAAATACTAATTAAAGTGATGCAGGAAAGTGAGAGGCTGTTACAAGCTCTAACCACCTGTAGAGGGAAATCTTTATACATAGTAATTTCTGATAGCTGATCTATAGAGAAACTAAACAGAATTACATGTTCCAAACTTTGCTGCTCTGCAATGTGTGAACCAAGATGCCAAGATGCTCGGTTAATTCTCGGGGGTTTGCAAACTGCAGATACTGTTAGCTCAGGAGAAATGAGGATTTCTTAGTCTCCACCTTGGCTGCAGCCATCTGTGGTGCACGTCCTGGTTTCCTTTACTGCTGCTGCACTCAGCTTTGGTTATCAACAGATGTCTTGCCTGAGAAGAGCAGGTTTGATTTATTGCTAATTTCAAGCAGGTTTCTTAATCAAAAAAAGTTGAATGGTCCTCACTGTCTGAGGGGAAGGTTTCCAAAGTAGCTGTGAGGACCAACTACTTCAACCAGTGGAAAGCCTTTTTCCCTTCAGAGAACCCTGCTCAATTTCTGTGTAACTAAAAGTAATAACTAATACCATGTGACAACTGACACAGTACAGAGTGTGAGTTATGTGCCACACCTTGTGTAGTGCCTTTTCTTCTGAGGAATCTCAGGGCACCCAGTGGAGCAACCTGACCTCAGAGGGGGCAAAACAGGCAACTGCAGGATGACAGCCAACTGCCTCAGAAGGGTGAGGTGGCACTGGAAGTCAGAGACATGGCAGTTGATGCAGAAAATCAAAAGTGATGTGGTTTTGAGGCAGCTTTTCACTTCTCGCTTGCTCATAGAGTATTTTCACCCTCTGCCATGAAAGGCAGATCTGTCTGGAACATGCTGGGGGTTACAAAGTGCTCACATCTTAATCATAGAATGGTTTGGGTTGGAAGGGACCTTAAAGACCATCTAGTTCCAACCACCCTGCTATGGGCAGGGACACCATCTACTAGACCAGATTGCTTAAGAACCTATCCAATGTGGCCTTGAACATATCCAGCACTTAATTATCCTGCCTACTACACCACTGGTCCATCTCCCTTGCAGAAATATGGAGATCTTGAGTTCATTTGGCCTTGAATCACCTCTACAGCCACCTGTTCAACCCTCATCTGTCATTTGCCTGTCCAACTGAGAAAACATGGAGATCTCCTGTGTTTTATGCTGGTGAATC